AGACGGGGCTCTGGCTTTTTCCGCCGCGCCGCTGCGCGCTCTCGCCCTCCTCCCGCGTTGCGGTGCCGGTTGGCCGGGCAGCGGGCGAACAGCTCGCGGGGAGGGGAAAAGGGGGTGCCCGGAGACGCCGGGGCTCTGCGGATGCTCCTTTCAAGCCCCCAGCAGCTCGCTGCCTTCTCGGTGTTTTTTCCAGGCGATGCCACACCTCCGGAGGACACTGGGGACATCGGGTTTTGCTGAGCTTAGCATCTTTTCGCCGTCGTACCGAAGGCATCAGATAGACGCTCATCTGCCCTGAAGTGCAGATCTGCAACAGCTACCGAGAAGACTCTGTCTCTCTGTCTCTCTGTCTCTCTTTCTCTCTCTCTCCAGTCCAAACCATTACAAGACCCGACTTCCACCATCTGGGAATCTAACCCCTTTTATGTCCCTTCTCCTTTTTCTACGATGACTCACCATTATTTTTAACTTTGAAGAGAGAGGAAATTATGGGGATCTTGGAAGCCTGTATTTCTCTCTAGGATTTCCCCAGGGTCAGATAATCGGTGTTACTAAGAGACACTAAGATTTGGCTTCTCCAGGTAATGTGATTTGTTTTCTGTGTGCCATGGTGGTTTGCAGAGAATGACAGGAGCCGGGACACCAGCGGTCGAGGAGGGGGACTGCAGTGGTCCGCGGGGCAGCTTCCATCGGCGGCTGCAAATTCAGGCAACCGCGAAGCTTGCCCGCTTGGCTGCAGGCAGGGAGGGCAGCATGTCGTCGTGCCGCTTCTATGGCCAGGGCAGGAGGATCGGGAAGGTGTCGAACTTAAAAATCGGAGCCCGTTAGGAGGGTAGATTGCCTGCGATTGCACGCTTAAATGTTAACCCTTAGCTGCATGCCTGGAAAAGAGCTGAGCCCGGTCTGCCTCTGCCCGGCACCCCGCGGGGTTCCCCTCACCACTTTAGGGCTGGATGGGGTTATTTTTGTTCCTCCCTCCTTTTTGTTGTTTGGTTTTTTGTTGTTTTTTTTTTTTTAATTTGGATTTTTTATTTTTAGCCAAAAAAAGTTCTGGTTTGCCAATGCCAGTTTTTCCAGAATGGTTTTGAATAGGTGACGGTTCCTCAGGTGTTTTCTCTCTTCTGCCTAATGGGTTTAGATGGGAGTTTTTGAACTCTGTCCCAATGAAGGCAAATTAACCCCTCCGAGGAAGGGGATAGACATGCTTAGTGAAGGGAGCTGCTCTCCTCCCCCCAACTTTATTTCATCTCTCTCTTTCTCAGCAGGGGCAATTTTCTTTCCTTTTTTTTTTTTTTTATCTTCTCTTTTTTTTTTTAATCATCCCTTCGCCTTTTCATGAGACACTTCCAAACCTACGTACCTGTCCTTCTGCAGGATAGTAACCCTGCCCTGAATCCGATCCCACCACCGGGCACTGGGAAGAGTTTAGCGTAAGGATTTCTTTTAAACCCCAATATGACAGTTGCTACCGGAGATCCTGCAGACGAAGCTGCAGCTCTTCCCGGTCACCCGCAGGACACGTATAACCCTGAGACCGACCATGAATGCTGCGAGAGGGTGGTCATTAATATTTCGGGTCTGCGCTTTGAGACACAGCTCAAGACACTAGCCCAGTTTCCAGAAACCTTACTAGGGGATCCTAAAAAGAGAATGAGATATTTCGACCCGCTCCGGAACGAGTATTTTTTTGACCGGAACAGACCCAGCTTTGATGCAATTTTGTACTATTACCAGTCTGGTGGGAGGTTGCGGAGGCCAGTTAACGTGCCCTTAGATATCTTCTCGGAAGAGATTCGTTTCTATGAACTGGGGGAAGAAGCGATGGAGATGTTTCGGGAGGATGAAGGCTACATCAAAGAAGAGGAAAGGCCGTTGCCTGAGAATGAGTTTCAGAGACAAGTGTGGTTGCTCTTCGAGTACCCCGAGAGCTCAGGCCCTGCCAGGATTATAGCTATTGTCTCCGTCATGGTGATTTTAATCTCCATCGTCAGCTTTTGCCTGGAAACGTTGCCCATTTTTCGGGATGAGAACGAAGACATGCATGGCAGCGGGCTGAGCCATCCCCCCTACTCCAACAGCAGCATGGGGTACCAGCAGTCCACCTCTTTCACAGACCCCTTCTTCATCGTGGAGACACTTTGCATCATCTGGTTCTCCTTCGAGTTCTTGGTGAGGTTTTTCGCCTGCCCCAGCAAGGCTGGGTTTTTTACCAACATCATGAACATTATAGACATCGTAGCCATCATTCCCTATTTCATCACCTTAGGGACAGAGCTGGCTGAGAAGCCGGAAGATGGTCAGCAAGGCCAGCAAGCCATGTCCTTGGCCATCCTTCGAGTCATCCGCTTGGTGCGGGTCTTCAGGATCTTCAAGCTCTCCCGACACTCCAAGGGGCTGCAGATCCTTGGGCAGACTCTCAAGGCCAGCATGCGGGAGCTGGGCCTCTTGATATTTTTCCTCTTCATCGGCGTCATCCTCTTCTCCAGCGCCGTCTACTTCGCTGAGGCCGACGAGAGCGAGTCCCAGTTCCCGAGCATCCCCGATGCCTTCTGGTGGGCTGTGGTTTCCATGACGACTGTTGGCTACGGAGACATGGTCCCCACGACCATCGGGGGGAAAATAGTGGGTTCCTTGTGTGCCATCGCTGGCGTATTAACGATTGCCTTACCAGTGCCCGTCATAGTGTCTAACTTCAATTACTTCTACCACCGGGAGACGGAGGGAGAGGAGCAGGCTCAATATTTGCAAGTAACCAGCTGCCCAAAGATCCCTTCTTCCCCTGACCTAAAGAAAAGCAGAAGTGCCTCTACTATTAGTAAGTCTGATTATATGGAGATTCAGGAAGGCGTAAACAATAGCAATGAGGATTTTAGGGAGGAGAACTTGAAGACAGCCAATTGCACCCTAGCTAACACAAACTATGTGAATATCACCAAAATGCTAACTGATGTCTAGTCGCTAAAATCTAGTAACGCATTTAAAGCTGAAGTGGAACAATTGCAGATATTGAGTGCTGCTCTGCATTGTAGTTAATACAGTATTTTCTACGGTGTATATTTGGTTCTGCATGGGAAGCAATAGCTGTGTAAGTGACTTTTAACCTTTGATTTCCACACTGAATAAGCGTTCGTGCGAAAAAAAAAAAACAACCCCAACCAAACCATTTTGTTTCCCTTCTCCCATCCCAGGCTTGTGGGTTTCCAAACGTGTGGAGCGGTTGGGCATTTCAAGCAACGGGATGCGGATGCGGGGGGCAGCTCCGGGCCATCCTGGGGTACCACGAATGCCGGTCCCTGTCCCGTGGAGCTGGGAGACGGCCAGATTCCAGGCGTGGGGAATGGCCGGGAAAGGTCAGGCAGAGCTTAATGAAGGGAAGGTGCAGCCCTGTGTCCGAATTGCTTGAAGGCTTGGGTTTCCACCCCGGGAACGCCAAGTGCGAACGCTTCGCCCAGGCTCGTGTTTCATAACTGAAAATGCTGCATGCTGCAATAGTTTCAGCCACTGCAGTATGCCAGTGTGAGGCCCAGGGGAGGGATAATTAGTATGATGGCACATTATTTATTAAGTCTTAAATTTTCTATGCTAGGCATCGGGAGGGATGAGTAAATAAATCAAGTGCTTGGATTTTATTTATTTATTTAGACGCCACTTCCATCACCAATATTTCCAGGATCACCAAAGACACCTCCGCTGACACATTGAAAATGAGTTGGAAAAAGCATCTTTTTTTATATCTATATATAAAACTGGAGCAACTATGCTGTGGCCTATAATATATTTATACTGCAGTGAAATCTAACCAGTAATACAGTACAGCTGCATGGATATTTGTTGCATGAATCTGAATATTTAATACACACACAAATATATATTTTCTTAGTAGACTATACAGTATTCATGTTTATAGTGTTTATAGATTCTCTGGTGGCTCAAAGGAGATTCACGGGAGTTAAAAAATCTCCATTATATTTAAAAACTGGATGGGGAAGGCGTGTGCTGACAACAGTTTGACAGATAACAAGGCAAAGCCTGAGCGTCCGAGCATCCAGACACAAGAGCCCACTAAGACAAGCGAGGGAAGGTGAGCTGAAAGTTAAACACCTGCACTCATTATGGGGCGAGTAATTAGTCATTAATCTTGGTGTCATGAGCAGAAACCACGGCGGATGAGAGAGGGCATGAGGAGCAGGTGGACTAGCAGGTACCGGCTCTCCTGACCTGTTTGTTCAGCAATTTTCAGCCCTTCCCCGTACAAGTATCGTGTGTGTGTATAGATATTTAGAGAGCGACTACAGGGCCGAATCCTCAGCTAACGTCGGCGCCCGGGGCGTCGGGGGCTTCCCGCCTCAGGGGGGTCAGGGTGGGGGTCATGGGCTGGAGCAGGGTGACCTGCCCCAGGGCGCCCATGGGGTCACCAGGGCAAGGTGTGTTTTGGGCTGGAAGATCCTTTTCAACCACGTAGAGCCTCAGGGCTGGTGGTTTACTCCCTCATGGGGGAGAGGGCATGTGCTGAGGCTGGGATGGATCCGAGTTCGTGCCTCTGAGCCTTTGCCTTGCCTTCTTCCAGGGTTTTTAGGGAGGGCGGGTTGAGGTGCGGAGACCTCAGGGTTGCCTCTGCTCCGTCTTCGCCCCTAGTGTTGTTTGGGGATAAGTGGGAGCCGATGGTCCGGGGAGATCTCATCTCCTCTCCCCATGCCCGTCTGGATTTCCCTGTGTTTCCCCCCCATTGCCGCCGATCCGTGGGGCCGGGCGCCCCGTTCCCCCGCCAGCTCGTGGGAGGGGGCTGCGAACCTCTTCCCAGGTCGCGGTCCAGCAGAACCTCCCGGGGCTGCCGGATGGGGGTTGTTGGGGCTGTT